CAAATTGCTCGAGAGACCGGTCAAAATGAGAAGTACAACAATATCTTGTTTTACATCAGCCGTGGTATGATGTCCGAACTGGGTGAAGCTGCTTCTGTACTAAGTGCTGTGGCAGAAGTTGTACTACAAACGAACGTTCTCGTCAAAATTAACACATTGGCATTAAGTGATGGTAATATTACTTTTCAGCGAGTATTACCATTTTATAATTGCAATATTTTTGATTTATTATAATGATCTCGCTTTTTTTGTTTAATTTCAGCTTGTTTTACTACTTTAGAATTATTTCAATAAATTATAAAAGTTATTTTTTTATTCAAAAATTGATGCCGTTAATTAAATCAATTTAATAATGTAAACGAAATCATCATATTTGTTATTAGCGTATTTATTCAGGTATAATTTCTTTGTTTTTATATGTACAATAAATATGAATAATAGAATTATCATGATAAAATAATGATTTGGTTTAGTCTACATAATAAAATAATGATCTGGTTTAGTCTAAATCAATTGGCAATTTTAATTTACAAAATCACTTCATTTGTTTGGTTCCGTTTTCTAGTCGGGAGAGAGGGGAGGGGGGAGGGTAGGGACCAAAAAGCCGTTGTAGGTCTTTGTAATAATATTTATATTTTTCTAACTATAGATATAATTGTTCTTCAAAAACTGCGTGATTAAAAACGTCTTGTATTTTTGTTAAAAAAAACCATTTCAGGACAAAAACCTCTTTTTTGGTCAGGTGAATTCTTGAAAAGTATAGCGGAAATGAATATCACCAAATATCAACAATCGTTTAACGATCAACTAAAGCAAGCATTGAGCAAAACGATTTTGCCAGTGTTACCTGGAAAGGTGGGTTTATATTCAATTTATCCAGTTACTATCTTTCTTTGATCATTTATCATTTTACGCTTACATTTTTGCATCAGCGATTCATTTAGCAACCTACGCTTCCGAGGACTGCTTAGAAGCAAGCTTACAGGGACTCCTTGACACAGAAGGTTATAATATGAAGGAATGGAATAAAGAGAAAAAAAAAATGAAAAAGAAGGTAAGAAATGAAGATTAGGAAGTTTATGAGATTATTATAATGGTAAGAAGTGTTCCGGTCCATTAAGTCGTATACGTTTCTTACCATTACCCAAATGTCTCGCGATCGGAATCTCTTTTTGCAAATGGGCTTGGTGACCCAAAGGGAATAGAACCATTCCTCTTCACATCCGAACGCGACATGCTAAACCACTGCACCACCGGCTTTTGTTCCATACAAACTAGAGCACCTATATTCTGTATGTGTGCTGTACACACACACACACACACACACACAAACACACTCACGCGTACACACACACATATACACACATATACACACATACACACACATACACACATACACACACATACACACACACGCACACACCACACACACACGCACACACCACACACACACGCACACACCACACACACACACACACACATACACACACGTACTACACGTAGTGTCCAGCTGTATGCTCACAAACAGCGAACATTTTTCGGTTCTTGCTGGCTTTTCGCAGG